GAGCGACTGGGAGGTGCCGAGCGCCTGATCAGGAGCCGCTCCCTCCCTCTCCCTCGCCTGCCTCCTTCGTCTCCAGCATCCCGGTCCGCATCTCCCTGAACTCCTCCGTCTCAGCTCCCCTTTCTTCGCGCAGTCCTGCACTTCCAGCGGTCCACTGTTTTTTTTTTTTTTTTTTTTACTGAGCTGTTGCCAAGCAGGATTTAGAAAGAGAGCTGTGAGTCTCTCTCTCTCTCCCTCTCTCTCTCTCTCTCTCTCTCCCTCTCTCCGCTCCCGATGCAGGACACCCGGGCAGTACGGTACAGAGAGGAACACGTCAGGCGGCCTCATCCGGCCCCATGGCGTCAGTCAGCTTGGCAAAGACCAAACAGTCTTTGTCGCCTTTGGCGCGGGTCCATTAAACACGCCACTGCTTGATCTGGGGCCCGCAGAGCCACGGGGCATTAAGGAGAGCAGGTCACCTGACTCTGACCAGTACAGTCACGGTACGGTTTGGGTTTCTGTGGTGACGGATCTGATGTATCAACAACATGCCCCCCCCCCAACCCACATCACCAAGGCTGTTATTTAGCACCTCTCAGGTCAAAGCTATGCTTGGAATTCTGGGTAATATTGTGATTGAAGAATTTGTCAGTAAAACTGTCTCCTCCAGCCTCCTCTCCACATCCCTCCTCTCTCCCAGCCTCCTGTCCACCTCCCCCCTCTCCTCTGGCCTCCTCTCCACAGGCTCCCCTCTTTAACTCCCTCCTCTCCTCTGGCCCAGTCTCCACCTCCTTCCAGTCCACCCGCTCCTCTCCTCCGGCCTCCACTCTACCTCCCTCCTCTTCTCAGGCCCCCTCACCACCTCCTTCCTGTCTACCTCCCTGATCTCCTCAAACCTTCTCTCCATCTCCTTCCTCTCCACCCACCTCCCACTTCTCCTTCAGCCCCCTCTCTACCTTCTTGCTCTCCACCTCCCTCCTCTGGCCCCTTCTCCATCTCCCTCCTCTCCTCCAGCCCCGTCTCCTTCCTCTCCACCTCCCTCCTGTCCTCCGGCCCCTTCTCCACCTCCCTCCTGTCCTCCGGCCCCTTCTCCACCTCCCTCTTGTCCTCCGGGCCACCTCCCCTCTCCATCTCCTTCCTCTCCACCCCACTCCATTTGTCCGGCCCCCTCTCCACTTCCCTCCTCTCAACCAGCCCCCTCTCCATATCTTTCCTGTCCACCTCCCCCTGCTGCAGCCTGCTCTCTTTCTGCTTCCCATGCTTTAGTGATTTTCCCCTCCCTGTTTACAGGGCCCTTCCCTGCTGTGTTTATAGTGCTGTCTCTCCACTTCACTTAGCAGATGATTTATCAAAAAGAGTTACAGCTTTGAGCCCCACTGATAACACGGCTGCATATCTGACACGTTCAGCATCTTCAGGTACAACAATATGGCACTTTAGTCCAGTAACCTGTTCATATTCATTAACACTCTACCCACAGTTCAAAATTAACCCTTACAATTTAACATAGTTATTCAAAAGTATATTCTGTTAATTCCTAATAACTGAAAACAAGTATAAGAGATTATCGACCTTTGTAATGCCAGGGTCCTGTGTCTTTCCAGACAGATTCACTCCAATTCGTCCCACCATGAAACAAACCACCCACCATAAGGGACCTGAACCTGCAAGTTCCCAGGTGTGCCACTAGAGGTCACTGTGGAGCAGAAGATTAACACGAGGGTCCATGTGCGCTGACACGTCAGGTTATCTTCTAAGGTGTGGGGAGGGGAAGGGTCTGCGCTCGCCTGCCCACTTTCTAGAGGAATGTTGGCAGGGGGCCTTGCAGCACAGATCCAACATTTCATTAAATTCTGCACCAGAGAGGCAACTGTGCCATGGAAACCTGGCTGTTGATGTCACAGTCAGTCTCCTAGCGACCATCGTTCCATATTTGGTAGTGCCACCTGTGCGTGAGTAAGAGGAAAGGTGCCTCTCAGAGGTCCAGCAAGCACCTGGACTGCACCGTGTCGGCGAGCGCAGCTCTTAACTCGTGGCTCCGGAGTAAATACGGGGTGATATAAACCGCGGGGAGTGAGAAATCAATGGGAGCCAGAAGCCGTGCGACGATCCAGAAAGACACGAGTCTCCTGTAGTATTAATCTGCTCTCGGCTGTTACGTCACCTGTCACTGATGAACCAGCAGGAGTGTTTGTCTGCATCCTTGCTGAATGTCTAATCCCTGATATCTGTGTGATTTTTCTCCTCCCAAATGTACAATTCATGTTTTTTTTTTTTAAATCCAGAATCATAAACGTTTCACTTTATGTTACGCAGTTACATGGAAGTTGCTGATTAATTCCCCTGTTATTTTGTAGCAAACAACCAAAATGTGGTTAGTGATCGATAGAAATAGTACATCACAATACACTGGCACATGGTAGCATTCATGAGTTTGGAATAACCCCCAAAGTGACACCTCAGTACCTGCCACAAGTTACCGTGAGAGTTAGACAGACTCGTGTGTGTGTGTCTCACACACACGTGCAGACACACATGCAGGGGCGGATTAACGCACAGGCTAGATATGGCTTAAGCCTAGGGGCCCCACGTGTGCCAGCCTGCAAGGGGGCCCCCATTGGCGCGGAGGGGGGTGGGGTTGGGGGGCCCACAGACTACTGTAGCCTAGGGGCCTCTGTACACCTTAATCCGCCCCTGCACACATGGGTTTATAATTATATCTTTGTGGGGACTCTCCATTCATTTCTATGGGGAAAACTCTAATCCCAACATGATGACCTTAACCCCTACCCAGCACTAACCTTAACCATAAGTAGGCAAACTAAATACAAGACTTTTGGCATTTTTAGTTTTTTGATTGCATTCACAAATCTTTGCGGGGACTTGAAAAAATGGTCCCCACAATGTAATATAAACATAATCCAGCCACACACACAGAGAGAATGGACATGCGCAAACACGTGGGTCCTCCATGTAACCTGGGGATCCTGCTGTCTGTGAAAAGGCCGACATCCCAAGCTTGGCCTTCAAGCCCACGGCCCTGCGCTCCGCCTTCCGGACGCTTGTCTCCAATGACCCCGATTCCGAGGCGTCAGGCTGAATTCCCGCAGGCCTCGGGTTTATCGGATTTCCGTCGGAGCCCTTCTTCATCCCCACCTGCGGCTGCCTCTCTGCGCTCGTCACTAACGCGTCCCTGAAAAACTCACCCAGTCCCTACTGGAACGTGGTGGAGATCCACACGGGTTTAAACCAGCTTTCATTTCCAACGAACGTGAAACCGAGAATTCCCTTCAGCCAGTCTGGTCTGTGTGCAGTTCCTCAAACATCACAGAATAGCCGGAGAGCTAATATAAACACGCCTGCCTTATTTAACCGATAATATCCTTGACTATATATTGTTTTGACCACGTCAAAATTACTAATCTACGACGGCTAGACCAGGAAGTCACGAACCCACAGCTCATCGGGGACCGGCCAGACTCCACGGCGCTACGGCACGCTGCTAAAATCGCTGACAACCTGAAAGACGTGTGTTAAGTCCATGACCTGGACCACCTGAAGACTGGGATTAAGGAATCAGTAGGACCGGCATCATCACCGACCCGGTGCTGTCACAAGTGCTCCAGGAGCGCCTCTGAACCCGCATCCCGCAGCACTGATCGTAACCCTGCAGCACCAGATCGGTCCCCGTTACGCTCCCGGTATCGCAGAGGGTGGAGGCGTTGGGGTCACCCTGAGTCCACATGAGGCTCCTGCAGCTACACGGTACCAGACCGGCACAGAAAAGGCCAATTTCAGGCTGACGCCCCTGCCGTTTTCAGATGCTCTGCTGCCAAAAACAGCGCCGCGTCAACCCTGAGCGCTTCGCATGAACGCGGCGTGATCAGAGCTCGCGCGGCACCCCTGACCCTCAGAGAAGGATCCGCAGCTTTCCCGCGAGGCTCCCGCGAAAACCGGCACGACGGAGTTTACGCCACAGACGGTCCGCTGTTTTCCCTAGCAGGGTGAGGGTGGGTACTTGTGTGTGTGTGTGTGTGTGTGTGTGTGTGTGTGTGTGTGTGTGT